CCCGCCGCAGTGGCGGGCTCGTCCGCCACCACCAGGGACAGGTCCGCCTTCTTGCCCGCCGCGCGAAGGCCCGCGTACACGCCTGTGGCGTTGCGATGGCGGGGCACACGCAGGGCGCAGCTTCACTGTTGTCGATCATCCACTGCAGCAGATGGTCGGCTGCTGGGATTTGAGGTCTAAACGCAACAGCCACCACCACCAATAATACCTGGACATTGAACTCCCTGCTGATCGCTGGATTCTCCATGGCTCTCACATGGGCATAGTGCCATGGGCCCTCAAATGGGCACGGTTCAACCCACCCGTTGCCTTGAACCCCTTGGCGGCACACACGCCACCTGGCACCTTGGCCCAGGGGCCCTCGGGGATGAGGTCGGGCACTGCTGGGATTGCAAACGACTCGGAGGCCACAGACACCTCGGCGCGCACGCGCAGCCGTGCCTGCAAGAAGGGCGGCGACGGCCACAGCACTGATGTCAGCTCTTGCCGCTGTATCAGAATCCGTGTGGTTGCAGTGGAGCTCTAAGAGGTCCAACCAACAGCCAGGGCATCACCACCAGGGAGACTCGTGTGTAAGCGGCACTATGCAGAAGCGCGTGACAACGGGGATCGAAGGGCACATGGACAGCAGCAGCCGCCGTCGTCTAGCCCACCTGACGCGTGACAAACGGACGCAACGCCGCCCGCAGCGGCGTGGGGCGCCCTGCATATGCATGACAAGCACAAGAACTTGGGTCGTGCGTAAGCACATTTACAATGGCTCGTTAGGGTCACGAGGCGGATCAGGCTCCCAGAGATCACCGAGAGCCAAGGCGTTGAACGCACCCTGCACGGCATTCTTGCACTGGCACCTCCTCATGTTACTCATATCGAGAGGTCTACGGTCTGTGGCTGCTCTTCACAGATCGGTCGCAATGAAAAACGTGACCGAAATCAAAATCTCTGCCTCAGCGCCGTAAGGTCCAAGACACGGAGTGTTTTGTTACACACTGACACTGGAACCCATGATCAGGGCTGCAACCGCCAGCCTGCTCACAACCGCGCAGCAGCTGCATGGAGTAGCTGCCGTGCTGCCAGCCCCGCCGCAGCCGCAATGTTAAAAGGCTGACCACCGCCAACATGACGCAGCCACTTCATGCAACCGGCCCCACTGCTGCCGCCACCCAGCCGCCTCACTTCTTGGCGGCGTTCCCGTTGGCGGAGGGCGCGTTTGCATCCTTGCCGCCGCTGCTGCTGCTCTGGTCCTTGCCTGCGGCCTCGCCGTCCGCCGCGGCCTCCTTTTCCTTCTCTTTGTCCTTCTCTTTCTCCGCCTTGTCTGCTGCAGCCCTGTCGTGCTTGGCCTTCTCTCGCCACATGCGGCCCTCCTTGTTGTCGATCAGCTTGTGCATCGCCAGGACAGACCTGGGCGGGGTAGGACCGTGGGCGGTTAGGGGGGGCCGAGCAACGCGCCTGGCATCCTGGGTCAACCGCAGCAAGCAGCCAAAGTGATCGACAGCACCTTGGCTACCGCCACCAGGGACGTAGACTCACAGCAACCACACGCGCAGCGAGCAGGCCCCTGTTGCAGCTAGGGCTAGGGCTGCCCGGGCTCATACGACAAATGCCGCCATGTTCACGATTGGCATCGCATGAAAATCCCCCTGGCCATCTTCCAGGGCTATGCCTCTCGCAGACGCCCGCTTCAGTGCCCCCACCTGATGAGTGCTGCCAGATAGACCACGGCCATCATGTCGTTGCTCTTCACGGCCAGCGCGCTGCTGAGATGTGCCGCGCTCATGTTGGGGAGCAGGTTGAACATGTCCTGGGGCAAAGTAGAAGGCAGCAGGGGTAGCAGGGAGCAGGTGCATTACTGACAATAGGTGTGGGGGGAGACAGGGGGGCCCAGGTGCCTGAGCACGAAGAGAAGATCGGCTCAGACGCGCCAAAGCCCCCTCGAAGGGCAGCAGAGCCAGTTGCTGCTAGCATGCCCTCACCCCGTCAACCCCCACCTGCAGGTACGCGTTGATGTCGTGGTTGAGGGGCAGCTTCCCGGCAGTGACCGCTGCCAGGTAGGCCTGCACCTCAGCCAGCTTCCCCTTGAGCCCCCGCAGTGCCTGCAGCTTGGCTGCCACGTCAGTGGCGAGCGTGCTGATAGTGGCGTCCTGGAATGTTGTTGCAAGGATTGGGTTGAGGGCAATGGGGTAGGCGCAGCGCGCGGTGTCAGAGGGCACGGCAATGATCATGGAGTTGTAGGGCCACGCATGCAGCTTGCGAGTCAGAAAGAACATTACTTGCGCCCTGCCTCTTGCCAACTCAGTGTCAGCTGATGTTAGCAACTTTCGCTTTCCGCCGCTCCCCCCTCCCGCAACAACCATGCAGCCTCATCACCAACACTCAGCCCTGCGTCCCCTCCCTTGAGTCCCACACACCCACCTTGACGTTCCTCAGCAGGTGCTCCACCCCGATCTCCTCCGCCTCGGTCTGCCCCACCTCAGTAGGCACAGACACAAACACCTTGCGCGCCTTCTCTGTCCCATCCTGGAGGCGGAGTTTTGGATTTCCCATCAATGCATCATTGACTGTCAGTCAGTGACCGCCATGTGTGGATGGCGAGGCGGTGCCTGCGTTGCTGGGATGCAGAGTACAATGGCTGCTGGGAGCTGCCAGTGCGAAGTCATGCTTCCGGCAGACCTGTCCCCACTGCCCTTTCGCTTAGCTCCCTACTCCTGCAAGAGCAGTCGTCAAATGCGCACCTCCCGCACTTCGTTGACTGAGCAGTAGGCGGTGAAGGGCAGCCCCACCTCCTTGGGCTGTGAGGCAGGAGAGAGGCCGCGAGGGGGATGATGCTTGGCCTTGTGTGGGCTGCCGTCAAGATGATACAGGCGCATGACCACGCGTCACGATGCGTCAGGCAGAAAAATATGGCCGCCGCATATTGCAGCAGCTGCTGCTGTGACTGCGGTACACCAGTATCCACAGCCGAGCAGCGGGCAGTGGTGCTGCGCAACATGGGCCGCTCCAGCTGCCTCGCCCTTTGTCCCCTCGACGTGCCTGCTCTGACGTGCACGTCCAACAGGGCCCTTTTGCCTCCATTCCCCAGGCCTGCCGCGGCATTGGGCCCAAGTGCTGCGACGCCACCAGGCCGCTTCAACCCCCAGCGGCCAGCATGCCACTGCGTCGCAAGCGCGCGCCTTCATGCCCCTCCATACCACAAAGCCGTTCCCTTTGCAGCCTGGGCGCACCTCGACCTCGCAGATCACCAGCACTGGCGTCTCGCAGTAGTTGGCCGCCAGCTGGTTGATATCCACATCCGCCTCGCGCAGCCGCGGCCCCGTGCTGTACCAACCCACCACCTTCTCGCGCGCTGCAAGTGCAGTAAGGACGGCGGTAGCGCTGTGTGATCAGATGATGCAATTGTGCACGTTCATTTGCATGTGTGCGAACACACAAGCAAAAAAAGCAGCAGAGGTGCAGCCGCTCATGTGCAGCTGAAATGCGCTCTGCTGCACAGCTCTATCGCGGCACATACTGTACCCGGCGGGGCAAGTGCTCACCGTTGACCTTCTTGAACATGTGAAACATGTTCTCAAGGTAGCTGTGATCCAAAAACCAGATGGAGGGATCCTGATCATCCTCTTCAAAGGGGATTGCGAAGCTGTTCGTCACGTCCACTTGCCCTTTGTAGGTGTCTCCGAGCAGTAGGCCCACGACACGCTTTTTTGTGTCCCTGGCTACCCGGTTGTAGTGATCCACAACGCTAAGCAACACGAGGGGGTGCAAAACGACCTTGTCTGGCACCCCCATGACTGGCAAAGGTGTGATATAACTATTTTTACTCTATATCAGCATGCAGCTGCGGCAACAGTGGGCGATGATCTTGGCTCTGGTGAGGGGCGTTCTTGAGTGCTGGCGTCCAAAATAGTGTGCTTGCGTTACTGCAATCAAGACAACAAGTGTTGAGAACACGATCGTCTGTTGATGCTCCATGCACCGCGTGCTGGACAGGGAGGTCGGGGACTGCCGCAGCTGCCCAAGCACGGGTGTTCCAGGCTACAGTGCGCGGCGTATCACAATCATTACGTGCGGCATGAAACTTGGACAACAGATGCCCTCTCTGTCACTCTGTCCATCAGAATCATCTTCCTGGTGATGCTGCCCCAGAAGCAGGACCAGCATTGGTCAACTGGACTGAGCTCGACACGCGCACAAACCGTCCATCCAATCGCTGTTTTTGTCAATGACATCCGATATGTTACACATTCGGTTGTGGCGAAATGTATGGAATCATGATGATAACTGGGACATGGTCGCAACGCCCAAGGATTTGCATGTACAGTACGATGAGTGTGGTTGACAAAGCTCGATGCGCAAATGCTAGATCCAGTATGCATTCAAAGCAGTCTGAGAAACATCAACGCGCCATGCCGCCAACCCAGAACCTTCGCCGCCTGATGTCGCATCTTGTATCAAGTGGTCGCGGCCTGGTGGGTCACCTTGGGCTGCTCAGTCTGCTGGCTCGAGGTCCCGATTGCGATGCGCTTGGGCTCAGGCTTGGCCGCGGGGGCGGTCTGTCAGTGGTTCAGGATGGTTTGGGGCAGGATTTTGGATAGTGAAGAGCATGTTCAGACCTTCAGCCAAGATACGCCTGGCCCCTGGCTCTCGAGAGGACCCGCTTGCCAACCCCAGCACTGCTGGCCTGAGGGTGTGTGGTACGCACCTTGGGCACGTTGACCGACAGCACGCCGTTGTGCAGGTTGGCCGTGATCTTGTCCTCGTCCACGTTCTCAGGCAGCGTGAAGGAGCGGCTAAAGGAGCTGAAGGCGCGCTCGCGGCGCAGCACGCGGCCAGCCTGGAGGCGGGGGAGGGGGGTTGGTGAGAGCAGCAATGAAAAGGTGTGAGAAGGTGCTGGTTCCAACGTAGTTTGGCGAGCCCCCTTGGCTATGGGCCATCAAGTGACCGGGGGCCTGAGGACAGAGTATGCACACAAGAGCTCTAGATTAGCTGAACCCTGGTGTCAGCGTTTGGCGCCCTCCCCGCCTCGCGCCTGATGGATTGGGCCCCGCGCCCCCGTCGCCCCAGCAGCCCAAGGGCACAACGCACCCTGTCCTTCTCCTCCACCTCGGTGCGCTTCTTGCCGGCGATGGTGAGGACGCCGTTGTCCATGGTGATGCTGATGTCGCCGGAGTCCATGCCGGGGGTGTCCACGACCACCTTGAAGGCCTGGTCGGTCTCAATCACGTCCTGTGGGGGAGTCGCAAGGGCGAGAACAAGAGGGTCTCAGGCAGAGGTTGCTTGGGAGGATGTGCCAGGGAGGCAAGGCAGTTTGGCTGGAGAGGTAAAGCAGGTAGGTAAGGGGGAGCAAAAGGGTGCTCAAGGTTGAGCAGACGTGCAGACATAGGTTGCAGGGGTGGGGCGGGATTTCGTGCTTTGGAAGAGTCCAGAAGGCCATGACGCTGCGATGATGTCAGCATCCAGCGAGCGGCGGCGCGTGCGCACGAGCTGTTGGATGCGATAGACCACTAAATGCACAGCATCTTAATTTGCCACGCTGGCAGTGTATCCCAGCAGCCCTCCCGTCCTGCAGACCCGAGAGTCCCCACGACGCACCAGCGGGTGCGTAGACACAGTGGGCGCCATGGAGCTCAGGCTGGGCATCAGCGTGCCGAAGTCCATGGGGTCGCGCATAGCGCCACGGCCGAAGGGAAAGTCGAACAGGGACCCGCCAAAGAGGGGCGTGAGCGCCATTTCTGGTGACTTGGGGGTTGGCTTTGTAGACAGCTGCTGGCACGGTCGCACGTCAAGAGAGCACAGTGGCAGGCAAGATCGCAGTTGCAGCGCTGCTTGTTGGAACTCGTATCGTATGTGTATAAGGCACGCTTCAAGCCGCGGCGGCCTTTATGCGATCGCGGTGTTTCGTAACTGGTGACGGAACGAGCTCTCCAGACGTCGTCTCGAATCTTCCAGAGCATCCTCTTGGGCACTGGACGTGGGCATGCGTGGCATTGCCTCACAAAATCAGACACGGTTCAGGGGTTGCCGCGTGCGCGGCGGTGGTTGCGCTGACGGGGCTTGGCGAGGTGTTCTTTTCGGCATGCTGCCGAATCATTCCCGTGCTGCTTTGCAATGTGTCCAGATGGCACGGCCATGATTGACGAATGCATGTTTGTAGCTGCTACATACGTGCAAATCAATGACTGCGGCGGGCAGAAGCAGCCGGTGCGTGTGTAGCCCGTATACCTCGATTGCAGCAGCTTACGCTTCAGCAGCACACCAGACAGGTGAAGCACCATGCCCCTGCCAGCGGCCTTCAATTACACACAGCCGCTGCGTTGCGGCGGCATCGCTGATGCAGCTGGTATGAACAGGGCGGCGAGCGGCTGACAGTTGTAGTATACACCCTCGGCTACCAATCATCATCACACTCCAAAAACGACCTCCTCTGGGCCTCCCCAGGAGCCGCCAAATCAAATGCCACCACTCCGCAGCCCGGCACATGCATATCCCCGCCCTGACCCTCGAAGTCCTCCACTTCCTGCTGCACCGCAAGGCCTCCAGCCAAGGCGCTCTCACACTCGATGCCGCCCACACCAAAGCTTGCAAATTCTGCTGACTGTGTCACTCCTGCCGCTGCTGACATCGGCTCTGCTGCCGTTGCCGCTGCCCCTGAATCTGCTGCTGCTGCCACCCTGCTGTCGTCACCTGTTGCCGCTGCCACCATCCCTGCGCTGCTCATGGCTTCAGGTCTGCCCCGCTCAGCCACGGACGTCGGCTCGACAGCCGCAATGCACTCCTCCATGACCTCATCAGGGTAGGCCTGCCCAAAGCTGGCTGTGTGGCTGGCAGGCAATGATGGCGGCTGCTTGACGCCCGCACCTCCTCGCGCAGCGCACTCGTCACCACTCGCATCGGCCTCCAAGCCCGCCGCATGGCTGCCCTTGCCGCTGCTGAACGGCGCACCGACGCGCGGCACCAAACAGTGTTCGTCTGCCCTGTCAAAACTGCCTCCAACGCCGACGCCGTCCATCGCACGCCCGCCGTTTCTGCAGAGGCTGGTATTTGCCTGTTGCTGCTGCCGCCGGGCCGCCGCAGCCGCAGCCGCTGCTGCGGCAGGGCACGGCATCCCAGCTGCTCTTAGAATGGCGTCGAATTCGTCAGCAGCCAGGTCATCGGGATTACCTGCCACCTGCTGCTGCTGCTGCTGCTGCTGCTGCTGCTGCTGCAATTGCTGCTGCTGCCGCTGCTGGTGCTGCTGCTGCTGGTGGTGGTGCTGCTGCTGCTGCTGCTGCAATTGCTGCTGCAATTGCTGCTGCTGCTGCTGCTGCTGCTGCTGCTGCTGTGATTGCTGGTGGTGCTGCATGCGGTGAGATACGCCGCCTGGCTGCCCGCCGACACCAGCCTCAGGAGCCGCCTCCACCCCAGCCTCCTGCGCACCGCGCAGCGCTGGCAATCCCAGGATTGCATGCCCCTGAAAGTACGCCCCCTCCTGCGCCCTGCAGGCGCCCAGCAGCTGCTCAAACGCGCCCCTATCGCGCCCCAGCGCGCCGCCGGCGCCCACCACCAGCAGGTGTCGCCGCGCCCGCGTGAGCGCCACGTTGAGGCGCGCCGCGTCCCGCAGGAACTCCCCGGGCTGCGTGGCCGTGGTGGCCAGGACCACGGCCTCGCGCTCCGCCCCCTGGAACGAGTCCACAGTGGCCACCTGCACGTCGCACGCGCCCGGCGCGCCGTCGGCCGCCAGCAGCTGCCGGATCAGCGCCGCCTGCGCCCTGAAGAAGCAGATGACGCCCAGCTGGGACGCGGGGTCGGGGCGTGGCGGCCGCTCGGACGCGGGAAGCTGCGGCTGCGGCGCAAGGAGCTTAGACCGACCTGCCGCGGCGCCGGCCGCCTGCACGGCGGCGGCACGGCGCCGTCGCTTCTTGCTGGCTGCAGCGGCAGGTAGGTCATCGTCGCTCCGCCAGTCGTTGCTGCTGCTGCCTCCCTCATCGTCGCCGCCGCTGCTACCACCACCTCCGCCCCCTTCAGTGACACCCGCTGGCCCAGCCGCTGCGGCTGCTGCCCTGTCCTCTTCCTGCCCCTGCCCCGTCCCCGCTGCAGCCAGCGCTCGCAGGAGTGCCCCAACCAGCCGCACCACCAGGACAGCCTCGCCCCTGGCGCAGTGGCGTGAGGTTGGGGCGCTTGCGCAGTTGCTGTGATTGTTGCCTGTGGCGTGCAGGGTTGTGCGGCTGACTAATTTGAGGGCAGTCCGTCTTGGTCAAAGCTGCGGCGATGCCGCATCATGTTGCTGCCGGCTCATTGACAGCTGAAACATGTGCAGCACCCGCACAAACCGAGCGTTGAAGGCGCGCAGACAGAGCAACCGCCCACCTCCCCCTCCCCGTGCAGGGGCGGCGCCCACCTGTTTGAAGAGCTGCCGCCCTGTCCGCGCTGCGCCACGCCGCCTGCCACGTCCACAAACGCCAGCGGCGGCAGGCCGGGCAGCAGCGGACCGCGCTGCGCCGCGGTGACGCCGTCGCGCAGGCGGCCGCCATAGACGCAGCGGTTGGGGATGGCCGATAGCGCAGGGTGACAGCTGCGCGCAACACCAGCGATTGGGGGCAGCAAGGGCTCGAGTTGGTGTCGGCGTGGGCGCGAGGGGAGAGGGATGGCCGTGGGGCGTGGCGTGTGGCCCAGCGGCACTGCAGCTGACCCTGCGGGTGCCCAGACTCTGCTGGCAGCGCCAAGCTGGCCGCAACTGCCCGGGGACTCCGTATGACTCCACATCCCCCCGGGGGCCCTTCTCACCGGTACTGCCACCTCAGCAGGTGGGGCTGGTGGCCCAGCTGAGTCAGCCGCACAAACAGCGTCCGCCCCAGGCCGCCACCTGTCGCCGCCACAGCCGCCGCCACAGCCGCCGCCCCGGATGCCGCCGCGCCGCCGTCCTCCCGCGCGCCACCAGGCGGCTGCGTGTTGATCAGCGTGAGAGCGGAGGGGCTGGCGATGACTGGGGGCAGCTGCAGGGGGTCGCCTGCCGCGATGAGGTACCTGCGATGGGTGTGGAGCAGGGTGTGAGGTGCCGGGTGCTCGCACCAGCACGTCGCACGCAGATAGGCGCCCGTGATGAGAGGTAAGCCTGTGCTAATTAGAAGGTCTGGCCGTCACTCTTGCCACACAATACAGAGGCCCCCCCTCCACGCGCCCCCACCTGCAGTGTGCCCTGAGGAGTGGCACCAGGCTGGTGGGCTCTGTGACCTGTGACGCCTCATCCAGCACCACCACTGAGGAGGTGGGGGGGGGGGTGGAGGCAGGGACAAGACGGCAGGGAGCTGAGAGGCGGGGCTGCTGCCGGGGAGGTGTAATGAGTGCGTTGCCCCATCAGGCGTGCACCTGCAAAAACCGTCCAAGCCCAAGCTAGGGTGTGTCCACCAGATGCGATCTCATGTACCCTCCAGACAAGGATGATGCCTGCAAACCAGCAGCCGTAAGCCCCCCCCTCCCCGACCCACACAACCCCCCCGCTCGAGGTGACCCCACACTATTGGGGTCACCCCCGGAATACTACCACGACACAACCCAACCCCCTCACCGTCAAACTTCTGCCCCTCAAGAGCGGCCTGCAGCGCCGCGCAGCACGTGATGCCCACCACCGCCGCGCTGCCCAGGCGGCACCTGCGCTTGCGCTCCGCCCCGGCCTGCAGCTCAGAGATCTCCCGCCTGCGGGGGCGGCGGGCGAGGGATGCTGGTGGGTGTGGAAAAAGCGGATGATATCAAGGCAACGCCGTTTGATTCTTCGACCGGGTGCAAGTGCAGTCACGGCAGGTCGGGCTGCTGCTGCTGCAAACCCTACACACCTCAAACACTCGTGATGTGCCAACCCTCGAAATGCGGCCACGATGTGGCCCTCGTGCCAGCCGGCTGCATGCCCAGGCCCAACCCCCCTGCATTTGAGCCCCCCTCAGGGCCACCTGATGAGCTCCGCGTCCCGCCCACGGGCCTCTGGCAGCATGGCCTGCAGCTGAGCCAGCGCGTCGCGGCTGTCGTCGCCAGCGTGGAGCGAGAACCGCAGCAGCGGCCGAGCGATTCGCTGCAGGGAGCCCACGCGCAGCATGTCGGTGAACCCGCTGTCTGCGGTTGTGCGTTGCCGTGTGATGCAGGGGTTTTTGTGCGGGTTTGTGTATGTGACCGTGCGCATGCGTGTGCGGAGTCGTGTCATTATTCTTGAGATATGTGCATGGGTCAGGCGATGTATCGTGCTGACAAAGACACACCCACATGCAGCACAGCGAGTCAAGTGCAATGGCAGTCATGCGTGAGGCAGCCACATCAAAAGCGGCCCCCAGCAGCAGGACCGCCACTGCCCTCCTCACACTGCGCAGCCAACCCCAGGCGTGCGCACCCCTCACCACCCACCCGCCAGCCCCAGCAGGACGCGGTCCACAGCCACGTTGGTGTGGGCCGCCACCAACACACGCACACCACCGCCTTTGGAGCGGGCCCCCGCCGCAGCCGGCTGCCGCTTCTGCTGCTGTGGCTGCTCCCCGCCAGCCTGCTCGCCCACCGCCGATACGCGTGGCCGCTTGGAGGCTGGGGCCGCACGTGCCACGCTGGTGGTGGCGGGGCCGCTGGCACGTGTGAGGAGGTGGATGAGGGCCACCAGGAGGGTGCTCTTTCCCGAGCCGAAGGGGCCTGGGGTTGAGACGAGGGGACAGCAGGCAGGTTTGACCAGCCATTTGCAATTGGGACGTCGATGGCGCCACACAGGGGAGCTCATACCTGGGGGAGGAGGGACGCATGCTCTGCAGTGGCACTGTACAGACCTGCCCACGGAGATTTTGAGATATCCCTGCCGGCACACTGCGTCCCCTTCAAGCAGGCAGCTCACGCCCATCTCACCGTGCACCAAGCAGACGGGCGGCGCGGGCGACCCCGCAACCGGCTCGTTCCCGCTGCCCCCAGCACCGTCGCCCGCCTCGCCCCCACCCCCGCTCTCCTCGCCTCTGCGCTGCATCACTGTCGGCTTTGATAGCGCCGGCCGCCGCAACGGCTGCCCTTTGACCACCACCTCTGCACCACGGCGCTTGATCTCAGGCAGCCAGGTGGCAACGTGCGCCGCCACGCCTGCCTGCGCATCGTTCAGGCGGAAGCGCTCTGCCACCACTGCCAGGGCCGCCGCGCTCTCGCTGTCCAGCCCCGCTGCTGCCGCCGCTGCCTCTTCGGTGTGTGGCCCTGTCACGGGGACGCGCTGCTCCTCGCAGTCGCCTCCGCCACTGCCACCGCCAAGCCGGTGCCGCCCAGGGCTTGGCGAGCGCACCAGCGCCGGCAGCAGCGCCCAGCCCGCCGCGGCCGTCAGCGCGGGGCCCGCGATGAGGCCGAGGGTCTGCACGTCTGTTGCAATGTCCGGCCCCAGCAGGGCCGCCACGGGCTGCTGGCGTCCAAGGTTTGGAGGCTCTGGGCCCAGCCACTCGATCTGCAGGCGACCGTCGCGGTCAGGACCGTGCCACGCGCTCCTGTGAACGAGGGGTGGGTTGGGGGTCCATTCTGCCTAAGTGGAGGACATGGCCAGACAGAAGAGTGGCAGCGGGTCATGCAACTGCTGCATTGCACATCAGGCCTGGAGGGAGCTCGCCGATTTGGATGGCTCTCCAGCGCAGCCAAGCTCAGGGTGGATGCTTGAAGGTGGATGCCACCACACCTGGCGGGCGTCACGGCCGCACCTAGCAAGGGCGATCCAGTGGCCCCGCTGCGTAGCTGTGAGCAGCGGCTGGGTGCCGATAATCCACAGGTCGTGCTTCCTGTTTTGGGTTTGAGGGTTTGAGTGATTAGTCTGCCAGGGTCAGGCGGCACCGCGCACGGCCGACAGCCAGCAATCGGTTGATGATGGGGCAGACAGGGCCAGGGGGGGACGAGGTCATGTCACGCCAGGTGAGCAACAGGTGGTGGCGGAAGCGATACCGAGGCCACTGCCTCAAGACATTCGTTAATGACGGTCGAGGAGTCGTAGGCCAGCGCAGGATGCCAGTGTCGACGTACTTGGAACAACACCATCGCCTGCCCCGATCAGGATCGCCATGCCCACCGCCCGCACCTGTACTTGCGCCTGTCGATGGCCCCCGCCAACATCAGCGTGAACGAAACCTTGGGCCCGTCCTCTTCGTCGTCCTCCTGGCCGCTGCCGGCGCTCTCATCATCGTCATCGTCCCCGTGGCGCCCCTTGCCAGCCCGCGCCTTGCGCTTTGCAGCGCTCGCAGCGCCGCCGCCGCGGCCGCTGCGCCGCCCGCGGCCGCCGCCGCGCGCGCCGCTGAAGAAGCTGCTGATGTCGCGCCACACCTTGAGGGTGCTGCCGGGGTGGTAGGCCAGCCCGGACCGCTGGCATGCCGCCTGAAGCCGCGCCTGGGTGTCCGCGCTCTCATTGCCGCCCGTGCCCACGCCGCCCGCCCGCTGCTGCTGCTGCTGCTGCTGCTGCTGCTGCTGCTGGCGCTGGGCCTGCTGCCGCCCCACCGGGCCGGGGCCTTGTGCAAAGCACTGCGCGGCGAGGCCGTGGAACCGCCGTGCGTGCTCTGCCAGCCGCAGGTTGATTTCTTCAGCCAGGGCAGCCCCGACCGCGGCCTGGTAGGCCAAAGCGCCGGCGGGTGCTGTGGGGATGACCATAACCCTCCGCGGCGTCGCAGCGGCCTCCTCTGCAGACGGGAAGCACAGCTGCAAGCCGGGGTCGCCACTGCGCGCATCACTTCCTTTGTCAGACACAGGCAAGCGGCCGCGCGGAAGCGACACCGCCGGCGCGTCAGTCGCGGTGGGTGGCTGCCAGTGCCGCTGCATGGGGCTGGGCGCGTGTACGCCACCATGCGCTGCCGACATCAACGCATTTCTCACCGCTGGCGGGGATTGGGGCTGCTGCGACCGCGCGGCAGGCGGCGCTGCATTCATCTGCGCCGGCTGCAGTGGCTGACGTGGCGCAGAGCCCCCGCTGCTGACTATCCGCAGCGCCGAGTAGCTGTTTGGCTTGCCCGCTGCCTGCGCCATTGCCGGCGTTGCGGGCGTGCGTGGGTGGGCTGCCGCAGCAGCACAGCCTGGCGTGGCCGAGCCGCAGTCGGTTGGGTGCAATGCTGGTGTGCCGACAGAATGCGGATGGCTGCGGGATGGCATGAAGCCAGCGCATCCTGGCTGCATGTTCATAGAATTGCAGCCTTGCTGCTGTTCTGGCTGCTGTTGCTGCTGTTGCTGCTGCTGCTGCTGCTGCTGCTGCTGCTGCTGCTGCTGCTGCTGCTGCTGCTGTGGGCGGCCTTGCGTGCCGCTGGGCTGCTGCGCATTAAAGGCTGCAGCTCCGCTGGGGGTCTTGCGGCTGGCGCTGCGGGGCGCAAAGACAGGGGCTTGGCGTTCTGGATGATGCTGATACTGCGCGGTGGGTTTGGGAGGGAGGGAGGTGAGGGAGTTGTGCAAGCAGGGAATGTTTGGATTAGCCAGATGATGGTGGTCCGAAGAGGTGATGAGGGTAATGCAAACACCAAGGAGAAAGCAGCTTGGAATACTAAAGTAAGGAGATTGCATGGAACACCAATGAAGGCAGGAAGGGCTGCTCTCAAACATTGCCACAGCTGGTTGTAAACACTGACCACCCTGCGTACCAGCCCGGGAAAGCCTGATGTGGCTGCTGCTGCAGGCAAAGCGGACACAGCGTTTTTGTTGACGGATGCATTCCCAACAAAATCGTCGCTGCAGAAATCTCTGGTGCCTCTGCCACTGCTTCGCCCGCCGCTCCCGCGGTCGCCTGCACCGAGCAACATGCTCAAAATATCATCGTCTGTGAAAAATGTGGAGCAAGACAGAGGCCACACATTTCAGCCACGCGCAAAAATGTAGAAGTTGTGGGTCAAGCATGGCAGGCGATACTGCGAGAACTTTCTTATCATCCTGCCCCTGAACTTGCTCAACTACCGCACCCACCAGCTCGCGTGCCGCCGCATGGCTGTGACTGGTAATGCAGCTGACCACCCCACTGTGGTTTCTGCTGCTGCTGCTGCTGCTGCTGCTGCTGCTGCTGCTGCTGCTGCTGCCGTCGCTGCTGCTGTTGCTGCTGCCGCTGTTGCTCCTGCTGCTGCCGCTGCCCATCAAGTAGCGAAGGTTCATGCCGGCTAGCGGCGCTCGCACCCTGACTCGACCGCCCATTCGGACCGCCGGAGCTGCTGGGTGCAGCCACCAAGGGTTGCATCAACGCATGTTGCAGCTGCCGCTGCTGCTGCTGCTGCTGCTGCTGCTGCTGCTGCTGCTGCTGCTGCTGCTGCATGCGACGCAGGCCCCCAAGTCCCCGTGGGCATGCAGCAAAGCTGGCAGCTGCGGCACCGCTGCTCGTTTGGCTCGCGGGCGCGGCGCACAAGCCCGTTGCCGCTGACGCGGCGCCGGGCAGCTCGTGCTCTGGGCACTCGCTGTCGCCATTGACTAGGAAGCCCTCAAACACTGAGACTTGCTCCACTGTGGCCCAGTCTTCGCCAGCTGGCAGCCGTGCAGAGGCGCGGGCAAGCTCTTTGCCGCCCTCATCCCACAGCAGGACAGCCCCAGACGGCTGCGCCACCACGAAGCCGTCCGCATAGGTCTTGTGTTTCTTGTGCAACTGCTTGGTGTAGAGCACGCGCCATGCCTGCATCTGCATGGTTCCCAGATCGACGCAGCGATTGGTTTGCAAGCGCATGCAAGCAATGTGGTTTGCCGGCAACAACAGCGCAAGCGGTAGAGCGCCAGCGGCGCTATGGCACATGCCGCCCTGTTGTCATGCAGCCTGGCGCCCGTTACTTTGGCTTCAAACATCATACCTGCTGTCGATGTACTCCACGGATACCCTGATGCTCCTCCGAGCCCAGCACAAACTTCAAATCATTGATCTGCCCGCCAGCTCCGCGCCAGGACCAAGAGAGTGACGGTTGCGGTGTGTAGTAGATGGCTGATAGTGCACCGACAAATTGGGCGAAGGAGGCCCACCCCAGAAAAAGTCATCGGGCTGGTGACGGCCAGGTTTGCGCCAGGGAATAAAATGCCGGCTGGTGACGCTGCACCCAGTGCGCCCAAGTGGACGGCACTTGACGAGCTTACAAGTAGTACCTGCTGCCTACCACGCAGGTGATTCAGTAAATCAAGGCGCACCGGTGAAGGCGGTACGGGCGGGGATTTGCTTCCCATTTGCTTTGAGCACACTTCCAGCAACCTCTGCTGTGCGCGGTGTCTTCGGTGGTGACCACTCTGGACACCCCACAGTAATTGCCCCTCGTCGCTGCATGCATGGTACGGCGACGTCGATCTATTTATACCATCCATGAAACGTCTTTGATGGTTGGTGATTACCCCTTCCGCCTGCGAATGCTGTTTGACCGGTAAGCACACTGCACTACCCCCAAGTGGGGGTTCCACCCACTGGCGCACTGGGCATCCAACCAGCCTGAAACCCTCTGCAAACGGGATAGAACAAGTACAACATGGGATCAACGAGAATTGCTGTGCAATGTGTCAACAAGATTTACACATCATATTGGGGCTGGACCTTTGCCTATTGAAGCTGGTGTCCCGGCATGACAGGTCAGTAGAGCTGACAACGGTTGTTGAGCTGTCTTAGTGTGCACTGCACCTGCCGCCCCGGTATCTGCAACAGTATCGCGCGGTAGTTATTTGTTCAGTGCCAACGAGCTGTGTTGTGCAGTAGTGTGGGATGCACTGCAAACTCTACAGACAGGGCTGATGCTCGTCTACACCAACTCAGTGACGGTATGCACACATTTTACCTGAACACAAGCCACTAGTCTTGTTGCCATGCTGTCGTCTGCACAACAGTGAGGTCAGCAGGTCAGTGGTGGCCGGCGAGCGTCAGATAGGCGAGCGCAATCGTCAGTTGAGGGCCACGAACCCCTGTCTTGCACTCTTGTACGGTACTGCTATGTATCAGAGCTGCATCAAACAACTATCTCGAGCCCGGAACTGTCTCAAAAACCGCGGTTCGCACACTTTTCTCTTGCACCGTGCGGATCTTGGTCACTGTCATGAAAACGCAGCAAAGGGTAGACATCAAAGGGTGCGCACTTGATTGTTCTGCAGATGGCCACACAGCTTGCTCAGCGCTCGGAGACTGCGTGCGCTTGGATGTGCCCCTGTGCAGTAACACCCCAGCAACTGGGCGCACCTGCTGCGCTGCTATCTGCCAACCCTGCAGCAAAACGCACCGGCGACAATGGCCGCCAGAGGCTCTTCAGCAGAGTTGGCCGAGCCGCCTGATGCGACTCACATTGACGGATCCATGCTGGAGGGGGGTGGGCAGATCCTGCGCAATGCGACCGCCCTGGCCGCCATCACCGGCAGGGCAGTGGTCGTCAGCCGCATACGCGCAGGTGCGCCGCTGCGTCTGGAGCGCTGTCAGAGCATCCCTCTTCTCGCTAGGGCGAGAGGTCGGCGGCAGTTAGCGGCCTGCTGTGCCATCCACGGTAAACCCACATATGCACCTTCCAATTTTCTGCCCCAAGCACAGGCCGCAAGAACCCCGGCCTGTCCCCGCAGCACCTGACTGGCCTCAGGCTGGTCGAGGCTATGTGCCACGGCCGGCTGGGCGGCGGCCAGCAGCGGTCCTGCAGAGTGTCGCTGGCGCCCGGGCGGCTGCTGTGCGGGCAGTACCTCGCAGACACCGGCACCGCCGGCAGCTGCACGCTGATGGTGCAGCAGGCGCTCCCATGCATGCTCTTCGCCACGACGGCGGTGCCCGCGACACCGGACACTCTGTTGGCTGGCAACAGCAGCGGTGGAGCAGCTGCAGCACCGGCGGCACAGGCCGCGCAGCGGTGGAGCCAGCTGGACCTGAGGGGCGGCACGGATGCTGCGTTTGCGCCGCCGGTGGGCTACCTGGAGCACGTGCTGCTCCCCACCCTCCAGCGGCTCCTGCCGGCAAGCATTGAGTTGGACGTGCGCCTGCAGCGGCGCGGCTTCTACCCTCGGGGCGGGGGCAAGGTGGTGGCTCGCGCGAGGGCGCTGGCACCGGGTGAGGCCCTGCCGCCGCTGGACATCACACAGCGTGGCAAGGTGGGTTGACCGAGGGTGAAGGATGCAGGGCATCTGCAAGGCAGCACATGGCAAGATTGCGACCCACGATCCTTGCAGCGGAGTGGGACGTGTTCTGGTTGTGTGTATGCCCTTCAATACACAACCTTCAATACACAACCTGTAAGTGCTCCGCCGTCTCCTGCGCTTCCCCGCTCAACCCCCGCAGCTCACGCGCATCCGCGCCCAGGCCTTCAGCGCCGGCCGTGTCCCCCACTCTGACGCACAGCGCATGGCATCCGCTGCCCTGGAGGTGCTGCAGGAGCACCTGCACAAGGAGGGGCAGCGAATTGTGTATGGCGGTGTGCCTGCAGGGACACAAGGCAGCAGCAGGGGCAGCGAACAGGACAGTGGCAGAAGCGGTGGCCACAGCGGCAGCAGTACAGCAGCTGGGAGCGGCGTGTCTTTGGTGCAAGAGGTGGTGCGCGAGGGCAACGCGACGGCCATGGGCGATGGCGGCGGGCTGCTGCTGGTGGCAGAGTCGAACACCGGCCGGCTGTGGGGCGCATCTGCGCTGTGGGAGCGCGGCGTGCCGGCCAGCAGCGCGGGCAGGGCAGCAGCTGAGGAGCTGGCCGAGGCGCTGGCGAGCGGCGCCTGCGTTGACCAGTGGTGCGCTGGTTGTGTGGGCAAGGACATAGGGTCGGCTTGCGTCTGAAAGTGGGCAGGGCAACTGTAAGTGGGCAGGGCGTTTGCCGCAAGCTCGCTGGGTATGATTGACAGGCAGCACTACCGGCAACATCAGCAGATTTGCATGTTCGTTTGGATCCACGGCAATTCATATGGACATTCAGGCCAATGTTTGAACTCATTGCGCGCACTCATCCATCACCACGCCCCCCAAAACAAAAACGCACCCCCGCATCCCCCTATCCCACCCCACTCCTTCCCACTCGACCCCAACCTTCCCCAACCGACCCCACCTGACCCCACACCACACCACACCACACTACACCACACCACACCACCCCGCCCCAGGATGATGGACCAGCTCATAATCTACATGGCTCTCGCCCAGGGGACGTCATGCATGACCTGTGGCGAGCTTACGCTGCACACTCGCACTGCCATGGTAGTGGCAGAAGCGCTTTTACCGGGCGTGGTGTTTACGGTGCAGCAGCAGACAGAAACCGGAACTGCAACCCAGCTGCACTTGATCAGGTGCACTGGTGCAGGCGTACGAGTGGGTGAGGCATGCCCGCCGGCGCCTGGTTGAGTGGTAAACTTTGAGCTAGGGTTTTTTTTCGACTGATTGTGAAATCCTCGTGTCCCCAATAGCCTGCATGCATGACAGTGCGGTCTGGATTGTCGTTCACACGCATGACCTCGCTGCAGCGTCGTCAGTCAGGATGCCATAAGATGAATCTGTACATGCGGCACCGCCGCTGTGCGGGACAAGAATCTCAACAGGCAGTCTAAAATCAGGCACTTGCACATGACCAATGGTAGTGCCTGTGGAAGACAGAGGGTGCGTCTCTGTGTCGCCTCCTGGCTTCTGCTCAGGTGTTCGTCATCCCGTTGGTGCTCAAGCTGAGTTGATGATTCTGGGTAATGAATACAGCGTTTTTGTAATCCAAGCTTCAAGTCTATAACAAGCGACGCCGACAGCAGGCTCGAGATCAGAGCACGGTCTAGACTTCGAACGTTCGGCGTTGTGATTGTGTTCAACATTTCGTAACTATTTTGCTGGCTGCTCATCTACGGGGACAAGACGGCCACCACGCGATTCTGTGGCTTTTGCCGCAAACTACACCATCGCTAGGCCTGTGGCGACATTCTGCGTATCAGAGGACGACCTAGGCAGTCTATATGCCCCCGAAGACGCGCAGAATGAGTAAGCAGGCCAGTGAAGAGGCTCCAGATCACTCTGTTCACGTCCAAGGCTGGCCGATGCTGCTGCAGCTGCTCACTGCAGCGTTCGCTCCAAGCAGCCGCACGCAAACCTCCCGTATGTACCTCTGCACAGGTGGCCAGGCAGGGCCTTCATTGCTGCCAGCCCCCACTGATGGCACCTCAGGCAGCTCTGCTGTTGCAACAGCTGCCTCACATGCGCCATCTCTCGAGGGCGCCGACCCAAGTATGAGCATTGGCGGAGGCGGCGATGGCTCAGACTGCGCCCAAGTTGCGACGATGCCGGCGCTGCCCTTCACGTCACCAGTCGCGCAGGAAGCCATGCTCTGCGCCTGGAACAAGGTGCCCGCAGCTTGCCGAAAGAAACTCCTTGCGCGGGTGAGGGCTCGCAGCTGCAGCAGCACATGCAGTGGTTGCTGTGGATCACATGCCTTGCTGGCTCTTGCGCCCAGATAGCCATGAGGGTTCTGTAACATGGCTTTGTGGTGCCGATCAGGGCACATGTTTTGGTGCCAAGGCCTACCTTCCTTGCTCGTGCCTGCTGGTATGGGTGCGCGCCTCCACTGCTGTTGGGCGCCTGATTTGTGACCAGCACGCATGGGACGGCCTGTTCAAAAGCCAGGATTGCGTTATCAATATGCCTGAACCTTTCAAACTGTCTGTGAATAAGGCAGCAGCAAATCACACAGTCCTCCTTTCACCTCCCAAACACCGCCAGGTGACCTCTTCCCAGCACGCCCTGGATGCGCTGCCGGACCTGGTGGAGGCCCTGATCGAGGCCCCCCAGGACCCCACCCTGCCGGGCTTCAACGCCGACACCCACTGCGGGGTCATGGAGGAGGGCCAAGCGGTGCTGCGCCTGCCCATGCGGGTGTGCTGAACGCGGGGTGATTGATCGGAATATCGGCGCTTGGTGGGAAGCACATCTTGTTCTTCGTGGGGAGTTGATGGTGCGACTAGAATGTTTCATTTTCTAATCCTGATCTGGTGACAAATTGAGCAGTAGTTGCCACAGGATTTGGTTCAATGCAACAGACCTGTGAAAATTTTCATTGAGACTGCGCAACGCCCCACACCTGGGGCACCACAAAAGCCCGGCAACCCTCCACACACACATTTCAACACCTACACACTGACCATTCGCTCAGCAGTTGTGCTACCCACTTACCGCCAACACTGACACTTTGCCAGGCTGGCGACGATGCCGTCATGGTCAAGGTTGCCACACCGCCAGACGAGTACAGCACCGCCAGGCGGGCCAAGCACGCGCTCGCGCTCCTTGTCTGGGCTGTCTTTGGCGCCGGGCTCGACCTCACTGTCCCCGGCACCAAGACCACCGCCGCCCAGCTGCTGGCCGAGGCGCACCAACGCGCAGCAGTGGCAGAGCAGGCCGCCATGAAGCTGCAGGCCGCCCCTGCCACTCGTGCTGACGCTTTGGCGGTAGGTGGTGCAGCGAGCGGCAGCAGTGGCGACGGCACAGGCAGTGGCGTGCTGGCTGCGGCAGTGGGGGCAACAAAAAGTGAGAAGGCCTGCACCCTCTGCACGGCCGCCGATTGGAAGCCCGCTGCCAGCGCCGCGCCTGACAGTGGCGCCGGGGCATCTGGGTTGCAGCAACAGCAGCGGCAGCAGCAGCAGCAGCAGCAGCAGCAGCAGCCGAAGGCTTGTGCGGCTCAGAGCAGGCTCAAGGGTGCGGTTGCGGGCCGGACATCGGGGGCAGCTACAGTCCCAGCACAACTGCAGCGCGCGTCAGCAGATTCAGGGCAGAGCACACGCCCTCTAGGCCTAACCCTCAACTTACCACTGAAAGCTGGCAGCATGCCTGCCGCGCCGGCGGTGCGCGTGCAGCAGGCTCCAGCGGCCGCGGCAGCAGCACCGGATGTTGCCGCAAGGGGGTCCCTCAAGCCCGCGCCGGACGGCAAGAGCGCAGCCGGGCTCGCAGCCGGCGGCAAGGGTTCAGGAGAGCTGGCGGCAAGCGGCGGCAGCAAGGTTGCTAGCACCAGCGGTCCAGCAAGCGCGAGTCACGAGTCAGGGCCCGAGGTGGCCTCCCCCCTCAAGGGCGCGTGTGTGGCGCTCGCCCCCGCGGCCACAACGCCACAGGCGTCCGTGCGCCTGCAGATCAAAACTGCTTCGCGCGCCGAGGCTGTCCAGCAACAGCAGCATCAGCAACAGCAGCAGAAGCAACAGCAGCGGCAGCAGGGGCAGCAGCAGCAGGGGCAGCAGCAGCAGCAGCAGCAGCAGCAGCAGCAGCAGCAGCAGCAGCAGCAGCAGCTCCTGCCGGAGCGGGTCCTCCGCGCTGTGGGGCGCGCTGCGTCAGCGGCTGACAAGGCGCGGGAGGCGCCAGGTATCCACCATGCCGGGGCGGTGCTGCCATGGGTGGGCCTGCCGCGGCGTAAGGCCACACAGGATACGCCCGTCAGGCAGGCGCAGCGGCAGCCTGATGCAGGAGGTGCGACTGCCCCCTCCCCGCTCTTCCCCAACAAGCAGCAGCATGGTGATGTGGGGGGAAGGTGGCCGCAGGAGGCCATGACACCTGGGTTGGGGCCGGAGGTGGTGCAGACCATGCTGCGCAACGCAGAGGGCTACCAGAAGCGCCTGGTGGACCACGACTACTGCCCATCCCTGCACGAAGTCATCGAGGTCCTGACGGCGCCGCTTATGAGCCACGCGGCGGCAGCCGAGCGCGCGGCCATCAGGGGCGGTGGCAACTGCCGCATGCCCATGGGGGCGGTGAGGCCTGAGCAGCGCGAGCAGGGGGCGCTCAGGGAGGCAGTGCTGGGGGCGCTGAGGGAGGTGGCGGGCGACGTCTACTTGCCAGAGTCGGCGCGCAGCATGGCCAATGGGATGCTGGCGTTTGTGGACCGCGTGGTGAGCTGGCGTGGCCTGACGTTTCCTTGGGGGGACGATTCCAGTGCTTTCTGGTACAATAATGTTGGGCATGCCGCTCAGGCGGGCACACGCACGCTTGCAATGCGCCCTGCTTCCCTCCTGAAATCCTTTCTTGCAAAGAGCGTCGTGCGCTGATCCATTTCTTCACCCCGTATCCAACTAAATCAGGGTGAGCGCTGTGAGTGCAGTGAGTGCTGTGACCCCGGCCCTGCAGGCATCGTCAACGCCATGGCATGGGCGCTGGTTGGGAGCCTGGCAGACGCGGGCCGCCTGGTGGAGCCGCCGCGGTTTTCCTGGGAGGCAGTCGACGGCGGCGGGTATGTCGGCTGGATGATGGTGGTGTTTGCTCAGGTGGGCCTGCCATCCAGGGGGTGCTGTGGCTGCGGCCCTGGGGTAGTGTTTGAGGCTGCTGCTGGGGAGCAAGGGACGGCAGGACGTCAGGTGCCACTAGGAGGTGCCACCTCTCAGAGGCGCGGTGGACAGAGGCATGCGGGGGTGGTGAGCGAGGCAGCCAGGGCATTTGCTCAAGGCGCGGCTTTGCCGCCTATTCTTTACATCACAGCGTGGCTGCGTTTGGAGGTTCGTGTGGCAAGGCACGGCCGCCATCGCTGTGGCTGGGCCGACCCCTCACTGCACCACGCACTCCTTGAAGTGACACGGCAGGGGCCTCTGCAGAGGCTCCTGGCTGTCTCACCTCAACATCATTCTGATAAAGAGCAAAAGCGATGCGCATGGCATTGCGGATGCACTACTCACAGTCTGCACTTTGTGATGCTGATGTGGCCTTTCAGGCAGGAAAAAACGTCCCCCCACACACACCTCCCACTGCGCCGCCCAGGGCGATAACCCGCTAAAAACAACGGGCCTCAGTGGACCCCACCTGTTTGGCCCAACGCGCGCCGTCCCCAGCGCTGCCGAGGCCGTGTACAGGTCCGGCGCTGTGCTGCTGGCAGAGGCGCGGCAGGAGAGCGACTGGGGCCAGGAACAGGAGTGGTGCCAGCGTGAGCGGGTGTGGTGGTGAGTGGTGAGGAGCCGGCGTGACAAGCTCGGCCAGATGGGTGGGGTGGGGTCGCTCAGTGACAAAGGGGTGCAGGCAGCAGGGTCGCGGAATGGGGTGGAAAAGAAAGGAAATGGGGCTGATTTTTTTGCGTCGGTGCGGCGTGGTGTGGATTCAGGCATTTGCAGGACGGCGCTGATAGCGGCGAGTTTGTGTGAGAGGGGAGCATGCGATACGCATGTTTTGTGGCACATTTGCAAATGCGGACAAATATGTATTTCAGCTTTTATACTGCATTCATGACTCTGTGAGTGGCCTGCATACTGTTTGAAAACCGCGACATCCCCAGAGCAGATCCCTCCTCAGATATTATTGCCAGCAACAGGTGGCATGGTTTGTGTGTCCATCGCCACTGTGCGTGAAGCGATCGACAGTAATGCGCGCAGGACTTTTTGAATGACCACCTGGTGTTATTATACAAGTCTTGTTGTCGGGTCCCTTTGGTTGGGACCCACATCAATCAAGAGTTACTTGGATTCTCATCTTGTAAGTCCAAGGCAACTCACGGATTCAGCCCTGGAAGGCGGGGCCCCGACTCAAACCCTCAGAGGGAGCAGCCGCCAACAACCGTCGCCCACGCTCACAGAGCAGGACAGTTGTGAAGGGTCAAAATGTGTGGTTGTCTCAAACAGTTTTGTAAGGCGCAAAGCCACGGTGGCCAAATCAGTCCTGGGTGAGAGAGGACAATGTCCCTAAATGTACGCAGGAATGTGATCCCCTAATGCATAATTGAGCATGGCGCACGTTGCAGATGAATTTGCAACTTGGAGCGTTTTTTTTACCGCTCGCACCAAAGAAATTAGAGCAGTGAAAACTGAAGCGCACGTGGGGGCGTCGTGATCGTGGGCGAGTCAGTCTGCAACTGTACCTGCTGTTGCCCAGCTGCTCGTCAATGCAGCCCCAAGCAATTCCCCCACCTTGTGCCTAAGTCAGTGAAACGGCACCTGCGGCCAGACAGCCTTGTGTGCAAGGGTTGCAGTGCAACCCTTGCGTGTGTGGGCCCCAGCTTACTTCCCGGGTAGCAGGCCGTTATTCATGCCGCCCGCTGGCCTGGACATGCAACGGGCGATGGTGGGCGTCGAGCCCGTGGGAGCGCAGTGCAGCATTGCACCTTTCCAAGGTGCAGCCAGCGCACGCACGGGGCCCTGTCGTGCATGGCCCCCAGGCAGGAGAACCCCAGGGGGCCCAGCGTGGGGAGCGCAGGGCCGCGTCCGCGCTGTTGCCGCACTGGTTAATTTGGGTCAGCGCTGACCTATCAATTGATACAATGTGCGCACTCCATTGCTCGCTGACACTGAATTTGATTACACAAGAAGGGTGCCTGCCCAAGCAAAATGTGGGCACTAAAAATACAGGTTGTGCAGCCGCATGCGTACGGTGGCACAGCCCAGGCGACATAAGTACCCTCAGCCGTGTTTGACGTGCTGAGTTTGGCGCAGAGTGGCTGAAAGCGGACAAGTCGTCAGGAAGCAAGGAGCCGCGAAGGCTGGCGTTGGAGACAGCGGCAGGCTTGCCAGGGTTGCCTGCATGTGAGACTGTTGAGTTCGCTTAGGGAAGCTCCTGCTGGTCAAATGATTAGACAAATCATGCATGCATGATACCCCTTTGCTCTGAGAATTCAATTGTATCTTTCACATAATATGTGCTGCGCATTGCACCCACACGCTCCTGCATGAAGTTATGCAGCAGGTGACAATATCCTGGAATAAGGGACAGACATATGCACGCACAACGTGTTCGTGACGTGTGAATTCGTCATGCGCATTTGCACGCCAGGGGTTGCCGCAAGGTGCTGACCATTGCGAAATGTGTGTGTGTGCATGTGTGTGTGTGTGTGTGTGTGCATGTGTGTTGGCAGCTGAAAGGCATTAATGCATGTGCCTATGCAGCAGATTTGAAGCCGCCCTTGGCAGAATCGGGCTTAGGTATGCACTGACCCCAGAAACTATTGGGATCCTGTGCCAGACGCGCATGCATGAAAGGTGGGCTGTTGGTGTTCTGCTTCACAGCAGCAGGGCCGAGGGGCCATCAAAAGAATCCGGATCAAACCACCCGGCGCTGCCGTCGCCGCCCGTGGCTGGGTCCTCGCGGAAGACGCCTGCGCCAGCCGCAGCCACGGATGGCGTCACAACGAACGATCCGTGTCGGCCGGCCGCAGCAGGGGCGCCGCCAGCGTCCCCACCGCGCTTGCCGACGGCAGCACCAGCCCCGTCGCTGCGCAGCCACGCCACCGCCGTGGCATGCGGCGTCCCGCTTGCAGGCGTTTCCCCCTGGGTGGCAACCGCGTTTGCTGCGGCCTCCGGCGGCCTCATGGTGATAGCAGATGCGCTGCCAGCACGGCGTCCTGCTGCAGGTCCCCGGCCAGGATTCTTGCCGCCGCCTGGGACCCGTTGCGCTGCCACCAGCAGGGAGCCGCGCAGCCGCTGCAGCGGGGGTCCGCCGTCGCGGGCCGCACCGCCGACGCGTTCCTCTGAATCGTCCGCCTCCTCCTGCCGCTGCAACCCCTCCTCGCCGCCTGTGAGGAGGGCGCCGACGTAGAACCCCACCCCACTGCTGCCACCGCTGCCTCCACTGGGCGGATGCGCTGCCGCCGGGCGCCCAGAGCTTCCCACGCGGCGGTGAGCAGGCGGCACTGCGACCGCGCTGGCCGCCGCAGGTGCAAGCTGCCGGCTGGTGTCACCCACCGCGCCCTCTCTGATTCCCTCCAACCAGCCTGGCACATTCTGGGTGCCGAGGGGCGGCCCCATCAGCGCTGCCTGCGCCCAGCCGGGCTGCAGCCAGTGGTCCACGTGGCTGGGGCTGCGCCCGTGGCGCGGGGAGTCGGGCGCGCCGCCGCCCTGGCTGGCGCCGCCAGCAGGCCCTCGCCCCTCAATCCCCGCGCCAAAAGCCACGGCCGCCTCTGGCTGCTCTGCGGTGGCCGGAGCTGACGCCGCATCCACGGCCGCGCACGCCTCGCTTCCGCAGGACCCTGCAGACGCGCGCCGCGCCGCCTGCGCCTCCTCGTCGTCAGCCAAAGAGCCGCCTTCGTCCACCTGCGCCAGCCCCGAGGGCGTGAGCTCCGCGGTCGTCGCGCCGGACGCAGTGCACTGCAGCGTGGGCACGAAGCCCTGGAGCTCCAGGCGCCCCGGCTGGCCGCTCGCGCTGCCGTCCGGCTGCTGCAGCCACAGGGGCGCGGACAGCAGGCCGCTGGGCAGGCCCCAGCCCTCATCACTGGGGGCCGTCTCCAGGCTGGGCGTCCTCTGGCGCGCGTGCTGCTGCTGGCCCGGGGGCGCGGGCGCCGCCGCTGCCGCCGCTTGCGAGTGCTGCGGCCCCTGCTGGCCCGTTGCGAACGCGGACGCAACCACCAGCTCGCGAGCACCGCCTAGCGGTAGCTTGTTTTGCTGCGGCGGTGGCGGTGGCGTCGCAGATGATGCTGCCGCGGCTGGCTGGGCGGTGCGCGCCGCGCCAGAGGTGGAGCGCTGCAGCGCAGTGCTGTCCTGGGCGTCCAAGTAGAGCAGCAGATCCAAGTCCAGGCTGGCCTGGTGCTGCTGCTGCTGTTGCTGTTCCTCGAGCTGCTGCGGCTGCTGCTGCTGCTGCTGCAGGTGGGGCTGCTGGTTCGGCAGGGAGGTGAGGGCGCTGCTGTTTGCGGCTGCAGTGCTGGCGCGGAACACAGGGCCACCCCGGGGTGGGGACCGGACCGCTGCCGATGCCGCGTCGTGGGCGGCGAGCAGGGGCTCGCGGCCGCTGCTGCTGCTGCGCGGGTAGCCAGTCGGACCGCCCACAAATGCCATCTCGCCGCCGCTGCGCGAGTGCCGCAAGAGGCGCCCGGCTGCCGCGGAAAACAGCGCGCCACCCAGATCCGACTTGCGTCCGCCAGCCGCGCCCAGGCTGCCCACCGCGGCGCCGGCGCTGGCGCCGCTGAGGCGCTGTGTGGCCGAGAGCTGGGTGTTGAGGAGCCGCGCGCGCTGGAAGGAGCGCCGGACCGACGAGCTGCAGGTTAGCGGCGACGTGGGGCCGTGGTGCGGAAAGGCGGTCAGAGTGTGTTGACATACGCATGTGTGAATGAAAGATTGCATCGAGAAACAGGGCAGTGTGGTAACAGGGGCGACCGCTCTGCTGCACGCGCCCCGTGCAGCAAGCAGCCGCGCACCTGCGGGTCGGGGCCCTCCGCCGGAAGGACGCCAGCAGCTCCTGCGCCGCCGCCCTCGGGCTCCACGCCGCCCGCGCGCCGCCACCCGCGCCCGGCGTGCCCAGCCCCAGCGCGCCCAGGCCTGGCAGCGTGGCGCCCATCAGCTGCGTGGAGGCGCCCAGGGAGGTCGCGTCGTCCTCGGTCGTGGTGCGGCCGTGGATTATGTCAATCTGCTGCGCTGCGTCGGCGGCGGCGAGCAGCTCCAGGGCCCCGGGGGAGTAGGAGACGGCCCTGTCGGGGGCGTTGGGGTGGTTTAGGTGTTGGGGTAGGGTTGGTTGGATTATGAGAGGTGGGAGGTGGAATGACGAGGTAAAACCACAGCGCAGCGTCGCGTTTGTCGGAGAGTCGCATGACGGCGGCAGAGTGAGGCACGTACAGCTTGAGCGAGGGAGCGAAGAGCGCAGCGGCAATAGTAGGCAGCGGTGCGACCCAACCGGAGATGCTCCGCCCCGTTGCCGCTGCCCCTCACCTGGCCCTCCTAACCTCGAACCATCGTCCCGAGCGGCCGCCGCCGCCGCCGCTGCTGCGATTCATCATTGCCGCGGGCAGGCTGATGCCGCGCTCCAGAGCCAGGGGCAGCAGCAGGGCAGAGGGGTCGCCTTCCGAAGAGACGGGCCGGCTGCCAGACTCCCCTATTGGCACCGAAGTGACGCCGCCGCCAGGCGCGGCAGCTGCCGCTGTCGCAGGCCCCGGCTGCCGCACGGCTCTTTTGGCCCCTCCTGTGGCAGCCGTGTCAGCAGCCACAGCAGGGAACAAGAATGAGTGACCGCCGCCGCCGCCGCCGCCCGCGAGCGCACCCGCGTTGCTGGGCGCCGCGGGCGCGATGCGGCTCTGGCGCGCGAGGCTCACGCGCGCAAGGTCGGTGAGTGACGCGTCAGAGCGTGCCGCCAGCTCAGCCAGGAAGGCCTGGGAGCCGCAGCCGGCAATGGCCGCCGCCAGGGCAGACGGCTGGGCGCCGCCCTTCTGCTTCTTGCGCTGCGGGCCGTCTGCGAGCGCAGTCGCTGCCAGCTGCCCTGATGGGGCAGCAACAGAGGCTGCGGCCCCGTGCTGCTGCTGCTGCTGCTGCTGCTGCTGCTGCTGCTGCTGCTGCTGCAACTGCTGCGGAGCCACCCGCTGCTGCCCTGCGCTCGTGGGCTGGGGAAGCGTATTCGCAGCTGGCGGTCTGCCTGCTGAGTCAGCGGCTGGGCTTGCGATGGCGGCCGCTGCGACGTCACGCTTTGCGCCGCATGCCTGCTGCTTATCGCGCTCCTCCAACAGCTGAGGCCCACATACCTCCTCCGCTGTTGACATCGATTCTGTCATGGGGGCAATTTGCCCCTGCTGCTGCTGCTGCTGCTGCTGCTGCTGCTGCTGCTGCTGCTGCTGCTGCTGCTGCTGCTGCTGTCGCTGTTGCATGCTCCGCGCCGCTGCGGCCTCGTCCATGAGCCGCTTTGCCTCGGTGACAGCGCGGTGGAACGCCGCTGCTGCGTCCTTGCCGCTGCCCGCATGCATCAGCAGCATCGCACGCCGCGTTCCCAGCAGGCGGCGGCTGTCGGCAAGGGCACCCATCCGCTTCTGGACGGCGCGGCTGAGGAGGCGGCGGGCGCGCGCTCCTGTGGGGTCGCGCTGCAGCCAGGGGTGCTCCAGCACCTGGTGGTCAGGGGGGTGGCGGCACACCAGGGGTTTGGTGGTGCGGGACCCCCGGCTGGTAGGGGTGTGCACGCGCCCTGGATGTCGACTCACCCGACATGAGCGGGGTCGCCGACGCAGCACTCAGAGTCGTTGTTAGGGCCGGCCGTCAAGCCGTAACCTCCTGGCAGGTTCCTGCAGGGACGCCCCGCACACGCAGCATGCGCGCGCGCGCACACACACACACACACACACACACACACACACACACATTCACACGCTTTCTGCCCATCTCCCTTACACAACCACAAACACACACACAAACCACCCCCAGTAATGCACTCAAACACCAGCCCCGCCCTCCTGCGCACTCTGACCCCGCCGACCCCGATGCCGCACCGCCCCACCTGTGCTGCCGTCGGCCTGTCCCGCGCCAGGTCTGACAGCATCCACGCCAGCAGCTGCTGCGCGTCCTTACTAACCGCGGCAAACCGCGCGTCCCGCAGCCCTGGCGCCTCGTCCCGCCGCCGCACCGCGTACTGCAGGCTGGCGCTGTCATCCGCGTCCCATGGCTTGCGGCCGACCAGCATCACAAAGAGCAGGACGCCGCAGGAGTACACGTCCATCGCCGGCTGAGGCGGCGGGGCGCGCAGGAGGGGGGAGAGGCACTTTCTTGGTTGAGTTGCGGGATGAAGCGGGTGGGCTACGAGGCAACTAGGAGCATCGGGCGCAGAGGGGCGGACACTACGCGCGATGACCAATCCTTGGAATAATCGTCGAGCCAGTTAGTTGCCCCACAACGCACCGAGTGTGGAGCGCCCCTGACGACCTCGGGCGCGATGAACCCCGGGCTGCCCATGCAGCCGCGCTGCGGGGCTCGCGGGCGGTACACCCCCGCCATGCCCAGGTCAATGAGCTTGACCTGGGGTGGTGTGGGGGGGTTGGGGTTTGTGGTAAGACGGTGGCTTGGGTGGCGACAGGGGGTGTTGCAGGCAGGCAGGCGTGGGAGAGCGCGGTGGACGTGGACAGTTTGTGGCTGGGTGCACAGGACCTTGATCTTGTTGAGCAAGCAAGCCCGTCCCCCACCTCCCCGAGCCTACTGCTGGTATCGAAATTTGTCACGCCCCCAAAACCCCATCAGCACCCGCTTGCCTTTGGCGGCTTGCCCTTTGCCGCGTAGTGTTGGGCTGGCTTTGCGAGCAGCACGTTCTCCGGCTTGATGTCGCGGTGCATGAGGCCCAGGCTGTGAAGGTACGCCACACCAGACATCACCTTGAGGAAGGGGGGGATGGGGCGTGATGATGAGGAGGCAGCCGCTGCAGGGGTGGGCAGAAGTGCTTGTGGCTGCACATCACATGGGCTGCTGTGGAGCCACACCACAGGGACGTGGCAGGCTGAGCGCTTGAGAGGATGCATGCAGCACCGACACACGCCGCGCCCTGTATCGCGTTGATGTGCCATGTATGTACGCCTCAGTGCCCAGCCAGACACCGAGGTTGCCTTGCTCCGCTGCAGGCCTCACCCCAACGTGCAGCCCTGTTGCCAGGACCTAGCCCCCACCTGGGCAAACACCCTGGCCGCCACCTCCTCGCTGTACGACTCCATAGCCCCCAGCTGCCGCAGCACCTCGCCGCCGCTCAGCGCCTCCATCACAATGACGGCGGCGGCGCCGCGCCCCACGTCGACGATCTCGAGGCAGCGGATCACGTTGGGGTGGTTGACCTTGCAGGGGGGCAGTGGGGGCGGCCAAGGCAACATGCGGGGGGTTTCAAGGTGCATGGCACAGCGTGGCTGACTGATGGGAGGGATGGCGTGGCAGCGCCAGCCTTTTGTTGTGCTCACTCCGCAGTGCAACGTGTTGCAGTTTCACTCTCCCGGCAGTTGTTTGTGACTAAGATTTTGTCCAGACGGATGCTGGTATGGCGCATGCTTGTTGCACTACGCCACACTGCTAAGCAACGCCCCGCAGGCATGGCCTTAGATTCTCTTGTTCCCTGCAAAGGCATCTTGCGGCTTTCATTTTGATGCCGGCACACCTCAGTGCGCGCCACCCGCCCACCATGCGAAGGAACTTGGCCTCTGAAGCCAGGATGGCGCGCTGCTCGCTGCTCAGGTCACGGCGGCCCAAGAACACCACCTTGAGCGCCACCTGGTGGACCGTGGGCGACATGTGGAGCAACCAGTTTGAGCCCGGCCTTGCGCATTGATATGATAGGCGGGCCGCCAGAGCGTTGAGGGGCTATGAAGCGTGTGCATCTAAAAGGAGGGACAGCACGGCCGCTGGCAGCTGGCCGCTGCCAGCGCCTCGGACCATGCACCGCACCTGCTTGCCAGTTTCCAGACACTCTGCAAGATGGACCTCAGAGAAGCCGCCCTGCAGGCCGGAAGCGGTGCCATGGCGGCACGTCAGCCGTTGGGAAGTCAATTTCCGTTCAGCAGCAGGTGAGCCATCGGTTGTGTTGTGAAAGAGCGTACCAGCTGCGGCAGGCTGCACGCACCTCGCCCAGCTGCTTGATGAGCCTGTAGCGCTGCAGCAGGGGGTGCTGCGGCCAGCACCTGCGCGCAGGTTTGCAGTGAACAGTGGCGCACGCAGTGCGCGCCATTCAAACGGCAGCACTGCTGCAGCAGCAGCTCGAGCAAAACGCCGCGCTGATCCCTGGTTGAAGCCTGTATCAGCGATTATGGATTCACCTCACGCCTTCCTCTTTGGCCTGGGCCGTGCTGGGAGCCCCACCGCACAGCGAGCACAGGAAGTCCATCATCATGGCCACTTGGGCCTCGCACTATAAACGATCGTGAATAGCATACAAGCATCAGGCATCGATGTACATCTCGTACGAGCCACAACGATCACTGGATTGGCCAATTTGGCGCGATGCAGCAGCCTGTCACGCAGGCGCGCAGGATCGGTTGTCAGTGGGTTCGATCTCAAAGCTAGAACGTTGTCTCAAAGAAGTGCTGGAGCCTCCATCTGTGGCGTGCCGCACACACGAGTCAACCGGGCACCTGCACATGTGCAGGGTGGCACGCCCCAACTGTGAAACTGCCAATGGGCCCAACTGCCAGGGCACGACAGCATGAGCACGGCAGCATGCGCACATAGCCAACCCACACTGCAGACATCGCACTGATTTTCTACAAAGCGCACTGCATACTGCACTTGCAGACTGCTTTGTCGTTCTACAAAGCACACTGCATACTGCACTTGCAGACTGCACTTACTGAGGTGCAGTTCTGCAAAGGTTGGTCAGTTGGGTGACAGCCTGTGAGCGTACCGTTACATGAAACAAATGTGGAGCTTGGGGTTCAAATGACCCAAGGTGGAGAAACAGTGGCCAGTCCGTGGCCGCCAGTGCAATACAATCACCTCTGCGAAGACAACCACCCCCATCGCGTCAAGATCTTCTGGGCTTACATGTCAGTGTGAAAGGGACTGTGCACTGCACTGTTGTGATTTTTGCACCAAAGGGGACGTCACAGGTAGACAATTTTGTACAATCTTATGATTTTGTACAATCTTACGAATGCATTGTTTTCCCCTGTGTCCATATGTCTGCTGTGGTGGTTATTTCCCAATCCAAGCCATTTTTTATGTTCGCTGTGATTGTGCATAAAGTCTGCTGTATTTTCATTGACACTCGAGAAAGAAAAACAGGGTGTGGTTACACAGGTTTCGGCTTCAGCAATTTGACAACTTTGCTGTGGTACATCCAGGCACAGGCATACGCAGCGCGCAAGCACACGCAGGTTGTGTCATGTCTGCATGTCGCATTGCGTGTAGCTACACCATCGCTCTTGGGCTGGGTCCCTGACCTATCCCCATCCACCGAATTTCACCTTCAGCGGCCTGGCACAGGTGGAAAGATAGTCAGGGTTGCATCGCTGTGTTGACAGCGCAGACGAGCACATTGGCGACACTGGAATCAACCCCTCCAAGGATTCAGCCGATTGCATGCCTGTTTCATACAACACCCCATACAATGGGAGGGGTGATGATTTGACTATCCCTGCCAGGCCAACACCCCAAGCATTCCCTGACCACTTTTGGGCCAAACCTTCCAACCCCCTGGCTCTCACCCCCCAAAAAGGCCATGGGCTCACCAATGCGGGCGTTCTGGCTGATGACGTTGGCTGCGTTCACTTCGGCCACACCCTTGCCGTTCTTGCCGGCGTTCACCACCACGGCGTTGAGGTCCTTGTTGATGGCAACGGCCTCCTGGTTGATGGTGTTGCCTGACAGGATGTTGCCACCTGGTGGTGGCAGGGGGGTGGCCAATAAAATTGTTAGCGCAAACACCGCACAGCTGCCAGCACCCATGCACGCGGGGCAAAGCAAGGCTCGGGAGCGCACCTGGCACACTGCTGACATGATAAGCGTATCCCCACCATTCATGCAAGGCCGCCCAGTAGCAGTGCCCGCAGGGCTCACCCTTAGCCGGCCTGACACGAAGGCCGTGCCTGCCGTCCAGCAGGCGGCGGCCTGCCGAGGGGGTTTTAGGGTGTGCCGAGGACGGCGCAACGGCGGCAAGAGTAGCCACAATTGTGGGCCACAAAAGAGCACGGCCACTTAGCATGCCGCTTGCTTTTTGGCTGCGACGAAGCCAGTTGTGGGCCCGCCCCACATCCCAACCTAAATCCCCGTCCGTCACCCCAAACAAGGCTGCCCCAAATCTCAGCCACAGCAATCCAACTTGGGCTCCACACTGGTCTGCTTGAGCATGGCGTTGGGCCCCGCCAGGGGCAGCTCACCAATGCTGGCGTCCTGGCTGATGACGTTGGCTGCGTTCACCTCAGCCCTACCCCTGCCGTTCTTGCCGGCGTTCACCACCACGGCGTTGAGGTCCTTGTTGATGGCAACGGCCTCCTGGTTGATGGTGTTGCCTGACAGGATGTTGCCACCTGGGGGTGTTGTGTGAAGGCCGACACATTGTTAGCGCACACACCGCACGGCTGCGAGCTTCCATGCATGCTGGGCAAAGCAAAGGCTTGAGGGGCGCACCTGTCATGGTGCCAACATGACAAGGGTATCCTTGCCATTCATGCAAAGGCCACCCAGTAGCAGTGCCCGCAGGACTCACCCTTGGCCGGCCTGCCACGAAGGCCGTGACCGCCGTCCAGCAGGTGGCGGCCTGCCGATGGGGTTTTGGGGTGTGCCGAGGACGGCGCAACGGCGGCAAGAGTAGCCACAATTGTGGGCCACAAAAGAGCACGGCCACTTAGCGTGCCGCTTGCAATTTGGGTGCAACGAAGCAACATGTGGGCTCGCCCCACATCCCAACCTAAATCCCCGCCTGTATGTTACCCCCAAACAAAACTGCCCCAAGTCACAGTCACAGACATTCACTTCTGGGCCCCGCCAGGAACAGCTCACCAACGTTAATGTCCTGGCTGACGACGTTGGCTGCGTTCACTTTGGCCACACCCCTGCCGTTCTTGCCAGCGTTCACCACCACCGAGTTGAGGTCCTTGTTGATGGCGATAGCGTCCTGGCTGACGGTGTTGCCAGACAGGATGTTGCCACCTGGGGGTAATGGGAGGCCAACGAATTGTTGGGAGCAAACTCTTGTGCGGCTGCCAGATCTCATGCACGCTGGGCAAAAAAAACCTCGGGAGGGCACCCATCACACTGCTAATTTGCTGAGGGTATCCCCGCCATTCATGCAAGGCCGCCCAGTACCATTGCCTGCTGGACTCACCCTTGGCAGGCCTGCCAACACGAAGGCCGTGCCCGCCATCCAGCAGGTGGCGGCCTGGCTCAGCGTGTCAGGTTGGTGGATTACAATGGAGTCAGCAGCAAGAGTAGCTGTGGTGCAGCAAGATTCAGCTGTGGTGACCATCAAAAAGCTCAGAGAAGCGCAACGCTGCCCCACCAGTAACACACTTCCAACCCCCGAACAGCCCTCCCAGCAGCTCACCAATGCTGGCGTCCTGGCTGATGACGTTGGCTACGTTCACTTTGGCCACACCCCTGCCGTTCTTGCCGGCGTTCACCACCGCAGCGTTGATGTTGTCGTTGATGGCGACAGCCTCCTGGTTGATGGTGTTGCCTGACAGGATGTTGCCACCTGGGGGTGTTGGAGCCCTTGTGTTGTTTAGAGCAAGCACTGCAAAGCTGTCAGGTTCCGCGCAGGCTGGGCAAAGCGCGGCGCGGGATCGGGCCTGTCACCCTGCTCCGCTCTGATGAGCGCGAGGCCGATGGCAATGATGCTATGGTATAAGTAACTTATCTATCTATCCACCCTGCTGACATGATGAGGGTATCCTTGCCATTCATGCAAAGGCCACCCAGTAGCAGTGCCCGCAGGACTCACCCTTGGCCGGCCTGCCACGAAGGCCGTGACCACCGTCCAGCAGGTGGCGGCCTGTCGAAGGGGTTTTGGGGTGTGCCAAGGATGGCGCAACGGCGGCCAGAGGAGCCACAGGTGTGGGCCAGAGAAGAGCACGGCCACTCGGCACGCTGCTTGCATTTTGGCTGCAACGAAGCAACATGTGGGCTTGCCCCACATCCCAACGAACCTAAATCCCTGCCTGTATGTTAACTGCCTCAAGTCTCAGTCACAGACATTCACTTCTGGGCCCCGCCAGGAACAGCTCACCAACGTTAATGTCCTGGCTGACGACGTTGGCTGCGTTCACTTTGGCCACACCCCTGCCGTTCTTGCCAGCGTTCACCACCACCGAGTTGAGGTTGTCATTGATGGCGATAGCGTCCTGGCTGACGGTGTTGCCAGACAGGATGTTGCCACCTGGGGGTGTTGGCACGGCCAACACATTGTTAGAGCAAACACCGCACGGCTGTCAGGTTCCATGCACGCTGGGCAATGCACGGCTCGGGAGCGCACACACCTGGCACATACACTGCTAATATGCCGAGGGCATCCCCGCCATTCATGCAAGGCCGCCCAGTAGCAGTGCCCGCAGGGCTCACCCTTGGCGGGCCTGCCAACACGAACGTGCAACCCATTGCCGCCGTTCAGCAGGTGGCGGCCTGTAAAGGGTTATTTGGGGTTCAGAGGAGGGCACAGCGTCTATGAGGGTGGCCACAAGTGCGGGCCAGAAAAGAGAACAGCCGCTCGCATGCTGCTGCTTACAACCGCAATGCAAGCTGCAGAGATTGCTGCAGGCAATGTCACGGATGTTGTTGCACGTAATGTTGCAATCAACCATGTTGTGGGCCATTTCCAGGCTTCATCCGATGGGCAATGACGCAAGGCTATCAAGACTCTTGATACTGCAAGGGGCCTTGCGCGGGGGGGGGGGGGGTGTCGCCCCAGCAACATATCCCTTGGTCTGTTTGCAAAGCCCCGGTCTCACCCCCCAACAAGGCCTTGGGCTCACCAATGCGGGCGTTCTGGCTGATGACGTTGGCTGCATTCACTTCGGCCACACCCTTGCCGTTCTTGCCGGCGTTCACCACCACGGCGTTGAGGTCCTTGTTGATGGCGACGGCCTCCTGGTTGATGGTGTTGCCTGACAGGATGTTGCCACCTGGGCAAGGGGAGGCATGGAGAGGAAACACAGCGCCAAGCTTTTGCTCCCAAGCGACAGGGTTGTTTGCAGATGTAGCACTGCGGACATGATGAGAGCTTGCCAGGCGTGCCCAAGGCAGGCCAGTAGTGCGGCCCGCAGAACTCACTCACCCCTTGGCGGCTGGGGCCTGCCACCGACTCGGGCTTTCCAGTCCCGGCCTGGCCAGAGTAAGGTTGGTGGGATGTGGCTTGGGATGTGCGCGGACGCGGACAAACACACGCCATGCTTGAGGGGGCTCATACAGCGGCACTCAAGATCCTCACCACCCCCATCAGCACTCGCGACATGGGCCGTCGCGCAGAGCGCCAGCAGCGCCACACAGGCGACCGTGGAGAAGCGCATCGTGGCAAGAGGGGCGCCTGGAAGAGGCACGCGCATGGGATGATTGAATGACTATGAAATGACGACTGGTTACCGGGCTTAAAAGGCCACCGTGAAGCGCGGCGGCCTGAAGCCTAAACCCTCGTTTCTCGGCGGCTCAGGGGCATGGGACCTCGGCCGCCGAGGTCCAAGGAGGCTGCCATCGATCCCACGGCAAACTTAAGATGCATAATTCTGCTCAATACTGTCAGGCACGTCCCGAGGAGCGATAATGTGCCAATTGGTGATGACGGAAGGGTCCAAGAGCCGAGAATAAAGCGGGTTCAGCCAGACCGTGGGTTTGCTAAACCGCGCCTCCGCGGCGAACGATTCGAAAAATGTGACGCAAGAATGGGCTGTGAATACAAGCGTTTGTGCGACACACGTGGTGGTTGAGTGCATACGGGCTCCCATCACTTGCTGCCAGGTGCTGTTTTTTTTCTAATTGAGCGTCGCACAACCCTTTCCAACCCAACTTTCAAACACAGCGCCATTCCCCACTGCGTCGTTGCGCCATCCAGTGTCCCCCCGGCGACGAGGGTCTGTATTTTGCCACGCATAATGCCCGACTTCCACAGTCATATGGAATTTACCCAAACCCCCAAGCGTCTCAGCGTCCTGCCATGATCACTCAACCTCCACATTACGCCGCTGTACATGCGCCACGCACTTCAAAACCATGGATCACCTACACTTTTCATGCTGGTTGCTGGGCGTAAATCATGCAGTATGCCTTCACATGGATCCTGCCCAGCAAACACCCCTTTGCGAGGCTCGCTGCATGCATGGCTCCGACCTCCACCCCTCAACCCCGGGGGCCAACAGTCTTCCGCGTCCACAGGTGTAGTGGTTTTGTTGGGCTGGGGACGTCTGCGCTGATCAGAGCTGCTGTGTGTTGCGCTCCGACGCTACTTGTTGGCGGCTATTGCCTTGGTCCAGCCCTTGATGATGGCCTCCTGGCCGTAGTCCGTCTGGACGCGCATGGTGGAGGAGGAGGGTGGGGGTGGATTGGGCCGACAGATTCATG